ATCAACAAGGATGTTACAAGGATCATCCCGTTTCATGCATATTTCGTGTCATGTCAATCTCGTTTGTAAACATGCTAATGGCAACATTAGTCTGGCTGGAGAATACACGGAGAGGGCACACTGACATGTGAATGTGATGTGCGTTACACCCATCATCTTGTTGCTTGTCACGCTCAGATAGGATCATATATCCCATACCTAGAGAGTCGGGTTTCATTTTTTTCATCTTTTCTATTAAATTCTGTATGGCAAGGCAAGCTGTGAAAATTGTCACATGGCAATAGATGTACCAATGCATGTGGCCTCATGCATCAAATTTCACAATTTGTCATATCATGTGAGTGGGTCGCAGGGCGAATTTTTCAACATCAGGAGTACGTACTCCTTATTTGTTCAATATAGGAGTACTGGAAAACCGTAAGTGTACATTTAGAGTACTGAATGGAAATTAATGGACTCTCAGTAATCTTGTTTTTCGTTTCATATATACACCACAATATTGCTACTCTTGTGTAAACAGGTCAATAAACAATAAAACAATACTTTTTTCAGATAAATACGCCTGCAAATGATTCTAAGACCGTACACCATTGCTGTGGTGCGTATCTGCTATGTTTTCTAAATTATTTCCTACCATATCATGCATATTTTATATCCGTACATACGCCGATACGGCCCTTATCTGGAGCCCTGGGTCGGATTTAACAGTAATAATACAACTTTCAACAGTAAACATATTTCATCCGTATCATCGCTAGTCATCCTGTTGTGAGAGGAAAGTCTAGACATTCTCCATTTTAACCAAATCCAAAATGCTTACTGCTAATCTGTGAATATATACAACTCTGGGATTCGAACCGATACTGTTATGTTTCTAGTCCGTCGAAGGCTGCACAGCCAGTTTCGGTACCTGATCCAACAGGGTCAGACGTGCATCTTGTTACATTACAGAGTGAATGAAAACAATCCATAGTGTGGGATTTAACAGAAACTGTTCACTAATACTGGACAGCCTGCTAGTAACAATCAAATGATATTGTTGCAGTGACTATAAGCATTTGTGAGTATAATCCGAAACCAGTTCACAATGGTTCACATCTTCTACAAATGGGAACTGAATGAAACTTACAGCATATGTAAACAGTGTGAATATTTTGACCTCCTCCGAGCAGGGCTAACTATAATCTCTAAGTACAATAAATAAGACTTAGGACTAATTCTTGAGACTGTTGAACATATCAGGGGTGGATATAACTTTAAAATTGATAGTGTACTCCGGTATAGTGGCACATGTAAAGTCACTTGCCCTGATATTTTTTCCAGTATACCGACCGTTTTTTGCTGATTTTTTAAATAAACAACATAATTAACATTGGAAAGTCAACTGGACACCGGTACAGTGTGATATACAAATTTGCTTGCCCGACAGAAAAAAACACTAGACTCGGACGTCAGGCAATGGGTTATTTCCACCCCTGCATATGAACATTCATCACTGAACTACGACAAGCCTCAATCATGTCTGCACTAAGAGTACAAGTTTATTACTGCCTTAGGAAATCCTTATACCTCAGACCTCATAGTTAGCTTATTTTTACATTTGCCTGACATTTATAAACAAGATAAGTCTGAGATTCCATTCATTAGCTCAGTCATGTTACAGTGTGACAAATTTATCCTACCCTGATGATGAAGCACTGTTTTCTTCAGAAACCAATGTGATCCATGGCAAATTTGGTCATTCATTTTCATATTTAGTGCAAGGAGATCTGTATTTATATACCTGTGAAGATTCAGGTTAGAATTGGTCTTCAGTAACCCATGCTTGTCATAAGAGGTGACTAAAGGAATCAGGTGGTCAGACTCACTGACTTGGTTGACACATGTCATCGTATCCCAATTTCGTAGACAATGCTCATGCTGTTGATCACTGGATTGTCTGGTCCAGCCTCGATTATTTACAGACCGCCGCCATATAGCTGGAATATTGCTGAGTGTGGCGTAAATCTAAATTCACCCACTCACTCACCTAATTTATACGGAAACTGTAGTCCTCCTATGACAGTTTGTAGTTAGCCTATATTCTCTGATATTGACCTCCTAGTGTAGTGACATATACATGTGCAGTGAAGGAGGTTTCACGGCAATACAGCAGATGGTTAACGTATTTGAATCAAACCTATGGATTCATGGAATATATGCATTCTCCAGAATCTTGTAACATCTTGACTATGACAAAAACCCTTGCCTTTGTCATATAGAATGAAATAATCATTAAAAGGTCACCAAGACTGAGGACACAAAGATTTAGAAAACTAGATGCCTACTCCATTCATTGTGATATAACTTCTCAGTTGTGAGTAGCATTCAGACATGTCTACCCAATGATGTTTTACCAACAAAACAACAGAATATACTTCTTGTCAGTGTGCAACCACCAACGTTAAACCCAGTGAAGCAAATCAAGCCATTAGATCTAGCCCCCATGTAAACATATGTTCAGAACCATACATGCCCACTAGTCCCACTGAGCCACATGAATAGCTTTTTTCAACCTCAACTCACAAACATAGGGGTCCCAGGACCCCTAATTATTAGTATTAAGGGTCCTTGCAGGCCTTACAAGGGTCCTGTGAAGTAACGGTTTAGGGAACTATATGTTTTGATAATTTCTTTAGAGCCTGGAATGAATCATTGATCATGTGGACTGGTGGATGAAATGATGCACGTAACTGCTCTGAATGAAACAACCTAACACTTAGCAAAGTCACAGATGTGTTGTGGGTACAGTGAATAATATTGTGCATCCCTCTGGACGCAGTGAGGGGCGGAGGGGTAGCCTAGTGGTTAAAGTGTTGGCTCGTCACGCCGAAGACCCGGGTTCGAATCCCTACATGGGTACAATGTGTGAGGCCCATTTCTGGTGTACCCCGTCGTGATGTTGCTGGAATATTGCTAACAGTGGCGTAAACCAAACACAGTCAGTCAGTCAGATGCAGTAAAAAAAAATTCTACACTAGTGCGTACTTGACGCACATTTGCGCATCGTGTAAAACCCTCATAATCACTGGTCGTTAAGGACACGTGCACCTATCCCCCGATGTGATATATATCGTAATTCTTTGTTCATTATGCAATACCTAATTGCAGCAAATGATTTGTGTGCATTTTGAAATTTCACATAATTTTAATAAATACATAATTTTAGTCTATCCACCAGTTTGAAAGAGACTACAACAGAATTTAGTCTTAAGAAAATGTACAATGTACTGGTACTGGTAAAATTTACAAAACATTTACATTTCACTGGGGAAGGACAAATTTTATCATTCAACTGCTGTTTTATATCTTCTACAATACAGCGAGTGAGTGAGTGAGTTTAGTTTTACGCTGCTTTTAGCAATATTTCAGCAATATCACGGCTGGGGACACCAGAAATGGGCTTTACACATTGTACCCATGTGAGGAATTGAACCCGGGTGTGTCTCAGCTGTGTCTCAGTGTTTCGTGGGTACTACATCACGGAAATATGTTCATGTGCACCGAAACCTCTGACGTTTTAACACACTAAGTTGCAACTGGAATTTGGCTGTGCAACCAGGTCTTTATCTTAGGTTGCACCTGGTGCAAGTAGGTTAACATCTCTTAAATCGAGCCCGGTAAGTTTATATTGCAAGAACTTTCCATAACTTGGGTGCAAAGTAGGGAGAGGGTGTGGAAATGAAAAACATTAATTTGAAAGCAGAAGCACATGGTTTCATCTTATTAGTGGATTTTTAGCTTCAAACACTTTGCTTCTTGTGCACGTGGTCCATCAATAAAAGGCACTGTTCTATAATCATGACAGCAGCAGTGATAGATGTTAGAGGCTATTCTACCATCAGCTGAATTAATAACAATGGTATATATAGATCCTGAGCATGCAGTGCTGCAGCCAGGATATCCTTGGAAGGGGCCACTTGGACCCTACCTTCAGAAAATGTGGGCCAATAACCAAAATTGAAATAATCTGTAATCCTTCACTTTGAGTGAGTGAGTGAATGAGTGAGTATGGTTTTATGCCGCTTTTAGCAATATTCCAGCAATATCACAGCGGGGGACACCAGAAATGGGCTTCACACATTGTACCCGGGTCTTCGCGTGACGAGCGAACGCTTTAATCACTAGGCTACCCCACCGCCCCTCCTTCACTTTGACATTTTGACAGCCAAAAACATTTGATGATAAACTCGGCACATCAAGTCGATCTCCATACAGTGATTCATATTACTGTTATGTATGCGAATAGACATACTAGCAATGTGCAGAGCTTAGGAAGCCTTGTTTTGAATTCCTGAAGTTTCAATATCTGGATTTTGAATTTCCGAATGTTTGACATCACTTTCAATGAAAAAAGTTGTATTTTTAATTTTTACAATTACACGCCTGATATTCAAAAACGTGTTATAAATTATAAATTGTTGGTGCATACATATATAGATAAAGCTCCAAGGTAAGTACAATTAGCGGAAATCCCGCAATTACGCTGTCTGGCTGCAGCACTGGCATACGACACGCTGTTTCAGCAGCAGCTCTTAAAACACTCCACCACAAGTATGATAAATGAACCACAGGCCCAATCTCTATCTGCTGCCGACAGTTTTGACAACATTATAAAGTAGTCATAATTGCCCATAAGTGAAGCTTAATCATAATTACAACAATGTTATTATTAATTTGCAGCTTTATCAACACAAAAAGTTCAATGCTATCAGCACCAGGGAGATATATGACATCGGATATAGTAGATCCTTGTGTCAAGATGAAAGTTACACGGCTTCTCACGTATACCTCGGAGTACAAAACCTGACCTTTATATACATAATGTATGTGATTATGCTAATTTGAAGTCGACAGCATTAAAGAGAGCAAAATTAGTTCACTGTCAGTTGGAGTAGATTATGTACATGTCAGTGAGTACGTGCAGTCTCCACCATCTCCCACAATGATAGGCTACTTACAGGTTGTAAACCTTGTACTTGTCTTTGTGCTTCTCTTCCAGAAATCTGAAAAACAAAATACAATATTGTAATTGTGAAAGGGAGAAGGGGAGAGAGTTGTTCAGTGTTAAACAGTCTTAATGGACACACTACAGAGAGTTAGTGAGTGAGTGAGTTTTGTTTTACGCCGCTTTTAGCAATATTCCAGCCTGTTGACACCAGAGAGAGAGGAGAGAGGTAGGGAGAGAGAGAAAAAAAGAGACGGAGAGAGAAGAGAGACAGCAAAAGAGAGAAAAGAGAGAGAGAGAGAGAGAGGGGGAGAGAGAGAGAGAAAAAGAAAGACAGAGAGAGAAGAGAGAGACAGCGAGAAAAGAGAGAAGAGAGAGAGACAGAGAGAGAGAGAGAGAGAGATGTAGAGGTTCAAGGTAGATTCAAATTCTTGACTGGCTTGCTAAAACCCACATCCAAAGACCTTTATTAAACAAAAATCCTTTCAAGGTTGATTTGCTGCCAGATTCATGGTCTTTAAAACATTTATGGCCCTTTGTCTGGTTTTGTGGTGCGGTATGTTGGTTTGTGTTGGTATTCCTCTATCACTCATACCTACATACGCCCTCATCGGGCCTGGCCAAGGCCATGTGGAGGCAAGTCCCAGTTATCAATATTCATCATATCAACTTGATCATATCCGTCATGCAAATTACCGACATGACGCAGATAACATCAGCTGATAAAGATGGCTCAGTATCACACAAAAGTAGAACATATTACATGAAGCTTCTGAAGTGGGTCATAGACCCAAAACACCTGGGGTTATAACCACAGGGGGTTGATTCAACATGTTGGATAACCTCAAACTTATTACTGAGACATATTACCGTATTTGTCATAATAAACTACCCATCAAAAGTTTACACATGGACATGCTGGACATCGTACTATATATGTTGAATCCATTAACTCCAAGTCAAACATGCCACATCGACACTTTTAAAGCATGACATTTAATGAAAACACATTTTGGTTTGGCTTACTTTTGTTAGATGTTTAATCTGATATTCTACTACTAGTCTGTCTCACAGTCCCTGAACCATATTATTTCCCTACAGCCTAGCCCTCTCTGTAATGTAGTCTGTCTCACAGTCCCTGAACCATATTATTTCCCTACAGCCTAGCCCTCTCTGTAATGTAGTCTGTCTCACAGTCCCTGAACCATATTATTTCCCTATAGCCTAGCCCTCTCTGTAATGTAGTCTGTCTCACAGTCCCTGAACCATATTATTTCCCTACAGCCTAGCCCTCTCTGTAATGTAGTCTGTCTCACAGTCCCTGAACCATATTATTTCCCTACAGCCTAGCCTAGCCCTCTAATGTAGTCTGTCTCAAGTCCCTGTATTATTTCCCTACAGCCTCTGTCTGTAGTCACAGTCCCTGAACCATATTATTTCCCTACAGCCTAGCCCTCTCTGTAATGTAGTCTGTCTCACAGTCCCTGAACCATATTATTTCCCTACAGCCTAGCCCTCTCTGTAATGTAGTCTGTCTCACAGTCCCTGAACCATATTATTTCCCTACAGCCTAGCCCTCTCTGTAATGTAGTCTGTCTCACAGTCCCTGAACCATATTATTTTCCTACAGCCTAGCCCTCTCTGTAATGTAGTCTGTCTCACAGTCCCTGAACCATATTATTTCCCTACAGCCTAGCCCTCCCTGTCAGGCTAAAGCCCTAAATGAAGCAAGTCTAGATTTCCTCAGGTTCTGAATCTCTGTTCTCCCTGGGGCTCCTTTTCAATCTAATTGGGTTTATTTGTTACAATCAAAATTATATATTATTCAGTCTATTCTGCTAGTACCAGTACAATCAATGGATAGCAAGGTAACTGAATTACATGTACTCCCTAGTTTATACAGTGTTGTAGGGGCACAACCAGTCACTGAGATAGGACGTCTCAATATTTGTTTGCATCATTGTTACCAGTACTATTGATAATCTTCTATGTCACATAAAAATAAAACAATTCCTAAAATGACTTACAACTTGGGATGTCACGATACATAAGTTTCATGAATCGATACATATCACGATACCCATGTCACGATTTGATACCTTCACGATACCTATTTTCGCTGCATTATTGCGTAAATTTATTAAACATTAATATTTCATATTTTATAATTGTCCATGAAGAGATCAACATTTTTGGTTCTCAGAGATTAAAAAGTTTGAATTTCCCGTCTTTGAGCATGAAAAATAATCATTTATAACTCTCATAACATCAAAAACCAAGATACAACTGCAAAATGTAAACGATACATAAACATATTTAAACCGATACTTTCAAAACTAAATATCGATACAGTTTTGAATGTATTGATAATTGTATCGTCTTGGAAAAGGTATCGATGTATTAATGTATTGTGGCAGCCCTACTTACAACTACAAGTATCAATACAGAATTAAATCTATCCTGGACATGAGAGCAATATTGGCTTGAAACGGAGATTTTCCAAGCCAGTCAGCCAGCTTTGATCTGCAGTAATGATCGTGGGTGGGCTCTATTTCCAACACTGGTTATCTACAGTCAGTGCCCAACATAGTCTAGAGTCTCTTAGCAGCATTTTCAGTCTTCAGTGTTATCTTACAGACTGAGATGAACTTAGTATAGAAAACATTTTAACTGGTCTCAGGCTTCAGACGAAAGGCTAGAGTTTCACCCTATGTAATTTTTAAAAGCTGCGGCACAAAGTTAGCGATTCAAATCTCAAGACATAAAAAATCCTACAGACTACAAGCTTACTTTTTATAACAATATTAATTTTAAGCAAATCATTGACAAACCATTAATTTGTGATGACAATATTTTCAAATACTGTCAAAAATGTTTTCATTCATTTCATAGGTCCCTCTGACTTTCAACTCATATTAACTTTCAGTACAAAATGAAACAAATTTGATCTTTGAAGAACGTATGACACTCAAAAAGACAAAATCATAGTTCTTAACAACCTCTGTGATGAGGTTAAAGGGTTCACTGTCATGGTTGAACAATCTTTGTTCATTGTGCAACAAACAAACCTGTATTTACTTTGTGGAAGGAAATTTTAAACCAGCTGCAGCCTCATATACCATTTTTATCTGCAAACACTTCCGTCTTAATTATCACATCAAAGTGTGAGTTGTAGAAAAATGTTAATATGTGGAACTAGTTTCAATTAAACAGTATGCAGGTCAAGAGATAGGTTATAATATACACAAAATATCAACAATAGTTGATACAAACAAATCAGTTTGTTCTATATGCCACTTAAAGAAATCAGTTTGTGTTTTGCAGGAGAGTACATACATGCTGAATTTGTCAACTGTTCAGACACTGACACTACAAACAGACAAGCAGTAGACCTAAAACTGTGCTGCACACTTTGTCGACATAGTTATTTCTAGGATTGTCACCACTCACAGCTGCAAATTTACGTCTGATTATATGATACTCCCAATAATTAATTCATACATGATAAATAATTCAGCAATTACTTTCTTAAAAACGTTCCATTTTCAATATGACTGCATGAAACTATCAAGTTACATTCACTAGTTCAGGACAAACAGGTTCAAGAACAACCACTTGTTAGCATGGATACAATTGGTAAAGTTATTTAAGAAGTGGGAACAAATTCAGCTGATTTTATAATAAATGACAAAAGTTAAAGTAAAATTGAATTTAACACCCGTTCAAGATTCCTGATCCTACATCATGATGCACATACATGTGTGTGTGCATTTGTACGTACGTATGCATGTACCAGACCGAACTAATGACTCCAAGCTGGCCTGTCCTAGCACCAGACAGGGTAATAGGTTCCATCTTAACATCTCTGGAACTATCCACCTTGCACTTTCAGCAAGTTCAGGGCAGATGCTGGTCAAGCGGAACAAAGTAAAACAGCCTGCAAGTCCTGCAATTACATCTTCAGAGTTTAACAGACAAGGTGCAAATGAACACTTTCAACCAGCAACTTCTCTAGCTCTGTAGAGCATTACCAGCTCATACATTTTCACATCAAGAAGGTGGATGTCAGGGACTTACTTGACTACATCATCGATGTTGTTGCGATAGACGCCTTCCAAGTTGTCGGCAGGGAAGCCCATTGCTATTATGTTGGGAATAATGTCTGGCACAAAGTTAAGGCAAACATAACATGTGTAAGGTGCTGTTGCTATGGTTACAAGACAATACTGACTTTGGCTTACATATTGCATCACATATCACACATTAAAACAGTATCTATGGCATACTCCACATTCCACAAACAACAAAAACGTTCATGAAATCACTGAATATTCAATCACCTGATTAGTGAGTGAGTTGGGTTTTATGCTGCTTTTAGCAATATTCCAGCAATATCACGGCAGGGGACACCAGAAATGGGCTTCACACATAGTACCCATGTGGGGAATCGAACCCCGGGTCTTTGGCGTAATGAGCGAATGCTTCAACCACTGGCTTACCCCACCGCCCCAATTCACCTGATGAAGGAGTAAGGGTTTACTCTGAAATGTTGAGTTCCTCATATTACAAAAGTTTACATCCATATATTTCCCTCCTTACATCATGTACATGAATGTAATTTGTAATCTATGCTTTTAATATGAGGTTAATTATATAACTGATCGTGTGGTTAGAGGTACGGACTTTGGTGTCTGCTTGTCAATTTATACCAAATATACATGGATCAAACGTCACTATATCAATCACATCAATCAACATCGCAGCAGGACACCATAAATGGGCTTCGCCCATTGTTCCCATGCGGGAAATCGAACATGAGTTTTCAGTGTGATGAGCAAATGTTTTGACCACTCGGCTACCACACGGCCCTGACAGACTTAAGACAATCATGGAGTTAAAGTTTTGTCTTGAAATGAGGGGCGGTGGGGTAGCCTAGTGGTTAAAGAGTTGGCTCGTCACGCTGAAGACCCGGGTTCGAATCCCCACATGGGTACAATGTGTGAGGCCCATTTCTGGTGTCCCCCGCCGTGATGTTGCTGGAATATTGCTAAAAGCGTCGTAAAACCAAACTCAGTCAGTCAGTCTTGAAATGAATTCTGATTATGTTTGTTGTTAACTGTGCAGTCTGCAACATTCCAACAATGGGATAACTTTCTGTAAATAACCATAAAATAAACAATCTGTAAAATCAATAAATAATTGATATCATGAGCACTGATCCACACACCTGGGATATGATATATCACACTATCAACCACACCTATCCAGACCACAGAACGATTAAGTCATCTCTTACAACCAGCTCTGGCAGCTGGGACCAATCCCATCCTATATTCCCACGGGGTGATATAAACAAAACCAATTAGTTCCAAGACAACACGTTTTCACCCCATCATGCAAGCAAATCAAAGCTTCTCTGTGGGTCCGTGGCCCGAAGCATCCCACCATCACCAGCCCACCTTGACAGAGAACGATCCGGCTGCTGTATCTATTGGCTGTTGTAGATGCCGTACCTCCTCAGTTGTACTGACAAATGTTCCCCGACTCCACCTAATTGACTCGGTGAGTGAGGGGGGTGTCGGTACACTGGTACTGTCTTCAACACCACTTATCCCAACTGAAGCCCAGGTGAGACTGAATCTAACCCACCTTCCAAAACTACCAGCTGCCATGCTGATCAGTAGAGTGGTAGTTTCATATAGTTTCATTTGTCAAGATATTTACTTAAAACATGTTAAATGGTTTCACTGATTAGCTAAACTTACAAACTTATTTCCATCAGTTACCATGGTAACTACTTGAAAATGATGTTTCCAGATTGCCAAGGTCAAGAATGGCCATGCTAAATTAATTTATAAGACACACAGTTCTATTCCCTAAATAGCCTTCAGCCGAATGCCCCAGCCTGATCATGCAATTTAGAAATTCAAATGAACATTCAAAACATAAGGTGGGACGCTTTTCAACACAAACCAACTAATCAAGGCATAGATGAATATTATATGTCAACAGATTGGATTTACAGGAGTCTTTGACTGGACCATCCATGGTGAAATTCATAAAATAAATAAGAAGGAAACACAAATATCAATCTCCTTCCACCTAGATTTTTGAAATTCTCTTAGTGTTAAGATGGTTATAAGTGCCATATATTAACATTAACTTACGACTATCTTAGGCCTAAAAAAAAAAGCTTGTGGTTCCATTTTCCCGACCGACAAACTTTAAATATTCCCTTTGAGCCTAACAATTTTTACTCACCACATAATAAATGAGTAATGAAAAAATATTTATTAAACCCAAACATAGTACCTACCTGACCCTGGTGGACAGTTCTGAAATTGTTTTGGGCTTTTTATTTACAACATTTATTTTTGGGGCCTTAGCTCTAAGAGATTTGCTTCAAAATCTTTTTGGCCCTGGTCTCAAGCTATGAGTGGCACTCAGGAACAACACAAAAAGAAGGTGTGTGTGTTTTTTTTTGGGGGGATGCGAGCCGTGTGGGATAAAATCTAACAATATATTCACAATGGCCAGTTTTTGAAATTCTCACAAGCTGGCTTCAGGAAGTAGTGCCATTCCTAAGTCTACAACTTTTACTATTAGATAGATGGCAATTTGCAGCAGTTCAGTTTTGCTGACTAGTCAAAACAAAAAATATATTTCCAACTCTGTCTGAAGAGAATCTCAGAAGGCGCCTGCATTTTTGTTGTTTTTCTTACGTCAGAATGTTCCTCACTGGTCTGACCATGCGTCCTGCTTCGACATGGTACTGCTTTCAATGAGTCATTATTATTCAACTTCCTGATTAACAAGCGTACCCAACAGTTCAAGCAACAGCCCATATTACATCATGGTTCACACACTTATATTTCAAAACAGATTAGGGAGGATGAGTTGGATATAACCTGCTTTTAATAGCATTTCTGTAATATCATAGTGCGTCAGCTTCATGTTTGAGAAATCCCAGATTGATGCTGGTCTCAGATACCCATCACATCAGTGAAATCCATCAACAGGGCCATGGAGCAGACTTTCCATCTACAATCAGGTCTATCTGATATCTGAACCTGTGACCCGTGACTCGTGGATACAGGCATAGGAAAAATTGCATTAGGGCAAATATCCTACATCTGTGTTATTATCGTATCCATGTAAGACGAACAGTTCAACAAATAAGTTTTTATTGTATGGCTTCCTCATCCTTGTAACTGTTTACCGTATTAGCTGCAATAAGGGCCATAGAACCTAAGAACATGGCTAGCTATTCTCGAAACATTTGTAGCCCTACGAACTTCTTAAGCCCATTCTTAACACATTGGCTACGATCAAAGTTAAGAATTCTTAGGGCTATGAATGTTTCGAGAATAAGGAACATGGAGTGTTTGTTGTGTAATGCTGCACTCTATTCCACCTATATGGCGCCGGTCTGTAAATAATTGAGTCTGGACCAGACAATCCAGTGATGAGCATCGATCTATGCAACTGGGAACCGATAACATGTGTCAATCATGTTCACCCGATCCCATCAGTCACACCTGCTTCCTCCTTTTTTATTCTTTGAACTTAAAAGAGGGGAAGCTTATTAACCCATACTTGTGTTCAATATGAAACATTTTTCTATAACTATTTTGAAATCCTGAATGCCTACATTTAAATGTGAGTTCCTTGGACCCCTAAAATCTATAACTCAGGTAAACCCTGTATTACTTCCAGCTTAGTCTAGAAGTAGGATAGTGTATGCTTAATAAGGCATATAGACTTTACACTGACATTAGAATCAATCATTGTCTTAAGAATTCTATTGCGGGAACATTTCTTGATAAGTCAGTTTACAACAGCCAAGCTACAGCTATGGTGAGGTGTTTGTGTTGTTTAATGTCACGCTTAGCAATATTCCCGATGAGGGACAGATGTCTGTAAATAATCAAGTATGGACCACAATATCCAGTGGTTAATATTAGCAATACCTCCGGGTACGAAGATGCCTACTCATTTCGATGGTGGACCTAGTGAAGTAAATATGTTCCAATTAATAGACAAAACGATTCTGACAAAGTCATAGTCAAACGTCAACACCGTGAAGTGCTTCCTCAACCAGTTCGACCAATCAATGCCACTGTCTCTTTCTCTCCCTAGTTCGGGAGATCACTAACCAAACATACCAAAATCTGAAACCTTATCTGAATATCACAATCAGCAGGCACTGAGTTGTGAAGACCTTTCAGACTTTTCAATCAGTTGGTTGGTTTGTTGTTAAACTACACTCAGCAATATTCCAGCTGTTTGGCGTCAGTCTGTAAATAATCGAGTCTGGACCACACAATCCAGTGATCAACATCATGAGCATCGATTTACGCAGTTGTGATACTATTTAATACTGTCATGGTAGTAATCATGTTGGGTATCATACCTTGGTTTCAGAGCAACAGACAAACACTTTACCCATTGGGCCACCCCACTCTCTGATATGATATGGCCAACAGAATCTCTGTCCACTACATCACTGAGGTGGTCTACCACTGTTGAAGAGTTTATCTCAATCAATTCAATTAACCACTAGTCTGTCTCACAGTCCCTGAACCACATTACTTTCCCTACTGCCTAGCCCTCCCTGCAATGTAGTCTGTCTCACAGTCCCTGAACCACATCACTTTCCCTACTGCCTAACCCTCCCTGCAATGTAGTCTGTCTCACAGTCCCTGAACCACATTACTTTCCCTACTGCCTAACCCTCCCTGCAATGCTAATTCAGCCTTTAAATGAAGCAAGTCTAGATTTACTCAGCTCACTGGGGCTCCTTTACAATTTAAATGGGATTATATGTTTCTATCAAAATAATATATACTACACGTAAGTCTATTATTCCACTAATTATAGCCATTCTTGAGCGGTGATTTGTGTGCATGTGGTATTATGACACAGTCATGTATGAACCAGGAAGTTCAACCTGATGATCTGTCAGAGGCCAAACCCTCTGAAACATTCTGAAGCAAGGGATAGGCTTTTGTCAATGGAAATATATACAGCGCCACATCATAGTTGATGATTAACCCACTATAAGTACAAGTGGCAGCTCGTCTCACATCACAGAGTGAGTGAGTGAGTGAGTGAGTGAGTGAGTGAGTGAGTGAGTGAGTGAGTGAGTGAGTGAGTGAGTGA